AAGCAGCGTTTCACGGAAGTTCGTGGGTACCGCAGTGCGTTTTTGCTCGTTTGAAATATGTTCGACCATCTGCTTATAGAGCTGACGATTTATTCTACCTACGTATGCATCATCACAAATGTAGGTGAACTGGCAGACAATGTGTGAGACAGAGCCGGTTTGTCCAGATCAATTCTACGAGTGGATGTAATAAGTCTGATTTGAGCACCTGGAGTTGACCTCGACTTATGGCACAAATCATTTTTTATGTGGTCACCTTTGAACAGAATTTTTATGTGGATGGCCTATTTGCTTACGTTTTTGGTTGGGTTACGTTTTAGGAATGGTCTACTGTAAATGTTTATAAATCTTTCCGGGAACCATTATTTAAAAATGTTCTCCACAGGAAATCTTCGATTAGTGTATCTGCACAATCGCATGAGCTTTATGTGTCCGCTTGTTTTAAGTGATTGAGGAGATTAAAAGACGTTTTTTTTCTGTATGGATGAAATGAGTTAAGAGGACTCAGTGTTGCATATATAATATATTAACTGTCTGTGAAAGGCGAGAAACCCCTTATTTGCTGATTACTATTCGGAAAAACGAAATATTTGACGACATGAAGGGATTTTCATATACTCTGTCAATAAAAATGTGATACAGTGTGCGCAGCCTCGGTGTCACTCACTTTTGAAAAGTCTTAGAAACATCATACAGCGGTGTCACGATCACTTTCACGAATCATCAGCAGTGTGTGTCCATCACGTCCACAGAGATTTTAGAGCCCCATGCCTCAGATATCTTTCACCCGAAATGCTACTAACCTGGGTCATTCGGGATGGTAGGAGTCAGCTACTTGCCATAACCCTCATCTGTTATTTTTTTTACGTGTAACGGATTGTGTCGGATAGTGATCATTTCCCTGATGCACGACTCCGTACCGGGTTCATATTTCCAGTGGGCATGGATCCTCTCTCGTGAATTAGTTTGAGTTTCTTTTTAAATATGAACGGTGAGTTTATCAATGTGTCCGACCGGGGCCCCATAAAAATAACATAAAATTCAGTTGCATCTTGCCTCCCAGCTTTTAAGTGAGGAGTAGCACGTTGTGTCTCCCTGACGAATTTGCCTTTATGCTGAACTTACTTTGTTTAACTTACTGCCACATGATATCATAATTTATAGAAATCTAGTTTGGGAGGCTCATTGCAGTAGATAAATGTGGAACTAAATGAAAACTGGTCGAGAAAGCAACGTTGAAAACTCGACTTGATGCTGCCTTCGCCCCGTCTTGGGCAAGCAGTCTTCCGTATTCAGCTGTTCTCCCTGTTTGAGGTGGAATAGCCAATATTGATTTAACGACTTTGTTAGGACGGAGCGCACAAAATCCGTCCTGCCACGCAGCGACGCTCCTCACACCACAAGTGCGCTCGTGACACCCAAGCCGAATCGACTCCTGATTCGGTGACTAAGGCGAATCAAATAGCTGTCGTCCGGTCGATCAACCTGAGTGTCAAGGTCACGATCTGATTGGCACGTCACCACGTCTGCTCGCGTACGCCCAATTGACCACATATATTTGCTTGTTGTTTCATGATCAAATATACACTCTTATTGTCGTTTCTCAGCAGTGTTCTTTCTCCAGTTGTTGAGGCCTAGACAAAGAGGCGTACGTATCGATTATATCGTCTTGACCTCAAGACATAACAGATTTCATACGGGAAAAACTTACTATGTCTAACGGATGCAAGTACTAGTTTATTTGTCAACTTCCACGTTTGAGGAATGCTTGTGGGGAAAAGAAAGTTTTTCTTCGCGGGCTAAACTTTTTGAAGCGGCAGTTTTTCTACATTTTAATTTTACCGTGACAACTGGATGGCAGCGGTCCCGTGATCTTTTGATTGATAACGGAGGTACTGGGATTCAATATTTACTCGTATGCAGGACTATGAAGCGCTAGGAGAAATTGTCCAGTCCTACCCAATTTCCCTCAGTAAGGAGCAATTCTGTCAATGGTGATGGTGCGATAAACTCCATTTTGCCCGATCGCTGAGCTTGGTAATTAGTTTGCAAACCTTTCTTTGCCGGTCGAGGTGGCATCATTAGTGCTTGTGAAGTGGCAGTGTTCCGTTTGTACTGGTTAGTTAATATACGTGTTCTTCTGCATCGATTACTTTTATCCTTACTCCTCACAAAGATAGCCCCTCAAGACGAACATATGTATTAACGAACGAGTACAAGCGGAACACTGCCACTCCACAAGCACCGAGGATGTCACTTTGGCTGGTGATGAAACGTTTGCAAACAAATTGCCAAGCACGGTGAACAGGCGAAATGGAATTCAGTTCACTCGAGCTACGAGAGCCGATTTTCAGTACTTTCTCGATGCGATAAACTCTTACATTAAAGCAAAATCTTTGCTTGCTTATGGTACCTCGGTGTAGTCTTGAATTGAGCTGTGAAACATATATGATTAAAACAACCATCAGTCATGCGCTTCCAGGTTCGGAGGCTTTTAACCATAAAGAGAAATACCCCGGTTTGAACCACGTGATATGTCCATCTTTTCGACGATTGACAACTCCCCGATTCAGTACTGGATTTTTGAATGTGTGGTATTCATGTTATCGCCAGAAGTGATGCTCAAATCATGAAAATATCAGGTTGAGTGTACAGTGAAACAAGTTTAAAACATTTGTTCTAATGAAAAATGTTTTTTCTTCCCTAGGTGAAAACCACTGAAACAGATGGACTCGTACTCAGGATCACATAAAATATCATTTTTCAAATTCACACAGAGGGTAAACAAATTTCGAATTCAAGTCAGATCCAAGTAAAAGAACAGCAACATCTTTTCGCCTTTGAGGACGGTTAACAAAATTGGTTTGCACAAATGAAATCTGTGTGTGGGTGCGTATTTCTGCTGCCATTAGAGCGATGACTCGTATAATCTGACAAACACATTCAAATTCCTTCAAAATTCAACCCGAACTGGATCACCGGAACATTTCCGTGATCACAACTCATCGTGGTCGGTCCATGTCGGTCTGATCGGTATTGTTCCACTCGTGAATTGCGTACAGATATTTCAACAATATGTGCGTTTCCGTCGGCAATCGATAGACAAATCCGGATAATTCGTAAGCTTTATCACAACCTGACTCGGCCAATGCGATCAATACAGGTGGCAAAGGCCGTTCACGTTGATATCGATCGAATCGACCACGAAGTAGATCGTACAGATAGGCGCATTCGACCTGTTCAGCAGTCCACTCATTTTTTCGATTCTGAACTGTGAGTTCGCTATTTTCGGCGTATTGTTTCAACATTTCTGCCGTTGGCCCAATCACCACCACATGCTGTCCTCGTGGAGTGAATGAAACGAGGAGGGATAAAAGGCAGATTATTTAGACATAAATAACGAAAGTTGATCAGTATACATACTGTGAAAAAAGAGACAGGAACAACAAGATATCTTGCGGAATAGGTAAAACTGATAACAACTGTTAAGGACGTAGCCAAATGGGGAACGTTTAGACGTATACCCAAAAGTTATCGACTTGACGGTATCATTTACTATCCCGTATCTGATTACGGAACTGTCAGATCAACAGCTGACTGCAAATCTTCAGGGTAGATATTTAAATCCTGGTCAGCCCCGGAATGTATTGATCAGTAAAACAGTAACGCACAAGTCTTCCGTGTGTGGGATCTATAGTTCAAAATCCCGAGGATTCAAACAATTTACACTACTGTTGAGACTTGATAAGTGAAATACCAACGATTGGCTGGTTGAACTGATGGCTAGGCTGAAAGATAGCCTGAAGGATGGTCCATTAATATCGGAATGGGCTAATATAACGGATCCTTTGTGTTGGCATCTCATAATTTAGCGGGGGAGAGCACATCCCAGGAAATGGTTAGTATTCTATCGCCGGAAAATTTTAACATCCAAAACTCAGAGAAATGTGTATGAGCAGATAGCTGACCAGGGAGAACAAATTGAAACATTCAAATTAGTTTTAACAGAATTGCGCTGCTATCTAAGCAGATATTGCTGAAATTCATCAGGACATTTAGAGTGAAAACAGTTGAATCTGTTTTCATTCAGAACAAAGCCACCATGGGACCAGGCAGCCTTTTTATGGCCGCGGCCCCCTTCCTGAAAGTCGACTGTACACTTATATATTCAATAACTAAAAAAGGAAGCAAAAAGACACAGATCGAACTACATATTTCGTCAAAAACACAGCAAGGATTTTGCAAAATCCTGGGATAGATCAAATTTCTTTGTGTGTGTTCGTGTCATTCGATTAACAGTTTGAGTCATCACGAGCTTCCGGCGAAGCAGATCAGTTTTGGAGTTGCAAAAACCAAAACATCTAATCTTTTGTATTAAAAAACAGAAAGCAATTGATGAAATTTAATCTCAATCATCACACGAATATGCACTATTGTTGTCTTAGTCTTAGAGGAAACTAGAAAATGCAAGACAATGTAGGGATTACAACCTGGATATCGATGAATGTCAAGTGGGAATACATTGATCGACTGCCAAATACCTTAACCTAGCTCCAGATGGTTCACGGACAGAATAACCTGGAAGGGCATTGTGGAATACCTGTGATGAAGGTCTGCGTCACGCGATTGGAATATTAATCGGAAAGAATGGATGCTCGCGCATGTGAAAAAATTGGTGAAACGTTTCGCGAACAGTGTTTTAATTTGTTTCGCATCGATAACCATTTTTTCGCAATACATATGTACGGGACTATAACAGGCTGTAGTACGTTCTGTGTAAACCCTTTGAAAACGAACTTTGACGCTCTGGGAACGGAGCAGCTGTTTTAACCTGGCTGGGTTTCAGCATCAAACCCGGGACCTCATAAATAAAACGCAAGCATACTACGCAATCGGCTGACTTTCATTTTCTTTGAACACGATATAGCACAACCAGCCTTTGCAAGCCTAATGCAGGTAGAAGTTGCACTGCTGATGAGTCCTAACCAGGTGGAAACAACCGTTCAATGCATCTTAGCATTTAATTTCACTCTTCATTTGCACAATACTCGAAGAAATCCATTACATAATTGAATCAGATCGCCCCCTACTTTCATGAAACAGTAAAAATCTCATTTGGATAATAATGAGTGCAGCACTGCATCGATAATCACTCACCGCCTGTCTCAGTTGATGCAATAAAAACGAGCCCCAGTGCATGGCCAATGGATCCGGATGAGGCATAATTAGGTGAAAGTTTGTGCTTAAATTTTCTCGCAAAGTGGTCCATCGACGAAATAGGATCTCTCTGTTTGAGTCTCTGATCAGAGTGACATTTGGCCAGAACAGAACGACAACTGTGTTGCAGGGAATTCGATCAGTTTTTATAGGGAATTTCGTTCAGGTGGCGTCCGCGGCAGGAGCGCATGGCGGTCATGATGAGTTGGTTGGGTGGATAAATCGAAAATTTGCAAACGTTCCCATAGATGTGCAGTTGGAATCAAAATCAACAACTGTGTTTAATATAATTTACTTTAGATAACGAAAACATTAACATGTATGGGTATTGGCCAGTTCGATTTAATTGCTCGTTCCTGAAGCGTATTTTACTCCTCCGTATATAAATTGCCAAAATCATTCCAATGTCCTGACAGGTATGCTTACGCAAATGAATATAAGGTCGTAACAAAACGGTAACTGACGAGTTTCATATTTCCTCTTGTACTCTCACGAAGGGAAGACCGATAATCTCCCATTGTCTCACAGACCCATTGACCAGCCAAGTCAATGGGAAGAAAGGTGTATAAATCAGAATGCATGTGCTCGACGAAGTGGACCAGATATTGATACATGAGGATTCTGGGTACCAGTGCACACAGGTTACCGTCCTATTGCCCGTGCCGACATTTCCAAGTATCAATGCTAGGCTCGTAGTCCTTGACACTAATCGTTAACCTATTAGCGTCTTAACCAAGTCTAGGACTGGACTCACCGTAGTAAATGAGAAATTCCAAGGTCTGCCGCTGGCACTAATTGAAGCCTCGACAGCCGAAATAATTTATACGACGTGTTGGGAGCTACAGACGTCCACCGACAATACAACACTGAACGCGAAATGGGCTGAAAGCCACATATCTTTTACTCACTTTTATATAACACTTGATTGAAAGAAAAATCAGGAAGAGGACAATCAAAGGGCCATCATGTGGTGTAAATAAATGGGGACCCTAAACAGTGTTGGTAGCTTTGAACATACTACCTCTGAGGTGAATTTGGTTATCCATACTGCTCTTTCCACTTTTTTGTTCCACACCTTAGTGTGATAAACAGCAGACGGCGTAAACCCCATGGTAACGAGGACTTTTTGTTCAGTGATGGAGGCCGGTAACCTAAAGGCCGAGACTTGAAGTGGTGAAGGCTCGCTAGTTCAGACGTGGTATTAAAACGAACGTCAGCAAAGCTGCTTATCACCGTACCTAAAGTGATACAAGTCAATCGGTTGTCTTTAATAAATGTTCTTTAACTTCCTTTTTTATTTATGCAATATTCAAATGTACAGTCCAAATTGTTGCTTGGCAGATTTGAAGTTTGTATGCCGATTGTGAAATTCGAATGTAAAAAGATCAGAACTATCGGTGTGGCCTAGCAATCATCTTCGATCTCAAGAAACTTCACAAGTATATTTACGGCCGCTCGTCCA